GGAATCAGTATAAACCCATCAGACTGACACGGCGTCCCCTCTAAATCCCTAGCAGTGTCGCTTCTAGCCTCATGGCTGAAAATCCTAGCCATTTCCGGTGTTCGTCCCTTCCCTCTTTCTGCAGCCCTTGCTTTCCCAGCCACGTCCTGGCACCTCTGCCAGCCAGGGACACACAAGCCCATCTGAGGAGACAGCACTTGAGGTCTTGCTCCCCAGCCTTTGTCATCATTTGGCTCCAGTAAACGCTTATAAAAATTTCCCTTGAAGAAAAAAAAAGAAAAAGAAGAAAGAAACTGCTCTGAGTACTCTCAGAAACTGCTTCTGAGAAGGGGGAAAGCCCCCGGGGTTTCTCCATTCCTCCGGCCTTCCGCTGTCCCCTGGCTGAACTTCATGGAGGTTAAACAGGAGAGGAGCCTCCCTGGAGGGGGACGCGCCAGGCTCTGCGGGGCTGAGGAAGAGCAGGCCAGAAGCCAGCCCCCCACCCCCGCCCCGCTTTCTCAGATGCCTCCCTGAGCTCTTCCAAAGTCCATTCCCTGGTTTTATTCCTGTGTTATGGGCTGAACTTTGTCTCCCCAAAAGTATTCTAATGTTGAAATCCTAACCCCCTGTACCTCAGAATGTGACTGTATTTGGAGATGGGACCTTTAAAATGGCGATGAGGGTAAAAGGAGGTCCTACGGACAAGCAGCAATCCAGTGGGACTGGAGTCCTTGAAAGAGACCAGGACTCGGAAGGAAGACTGCGTGCAGACGCAGGGAAAAAACAGCCCCCTACAAGGCAGGAAGGGCGGCCTCAGAAAAAACCAGCCCTGCCCACGCGTCGATCTCCGGCCTCCGGCCTGCAGGCTGGGAGGAAACAGCCGCCTCAACTGCGGCGCCTTGCTTGGGCGGCCCCAGCAAACTAACCCATCCTAGCTCTCCCGGCGCCTTCTCTGCCCCTCACCCTCCTTTCAGCCGCTGGGCCCCAGCTCTGCCCTCCCCTGTGCTCCTCCACGGAGGTTCCATCTGCCCACTGGGTGTCAGTGGCCACCCCTCTGGGCAGACGCTCTGACTCTCACTGCCAGCTCTGGCCCCTCCCAGCCTCCGACACCACCGTCATCTCTTCTGTGTATGTTTATTTGGATATTCTGTGGGCATCCCAGAAGCAACAGGAATAAAACCAAATGCATTTTTCTCCCACACATTACCTCTTCACCCTGATTTCTCCCTCTGTCAAGAACATCCCATTCTCCTTTCCACCTGGACCTAGAACGTAATCTTGTTGGAGCGCCAGCTTCTCTCCGCCCCGCACCCTGTTTATTTCCGTTGATGGTACCTCCACACAGTCTCTCCAGAGTCTCATCTTCCCATCACCCACTCTCTGCTGTCATTGGAACCAGCGTGGCAGCCACCAATCCCCCTCAGGCCTCCCATTTCCCACTGCCCCGCTTTCTCCTGCTCCTTTTGCACTTGACTTTCGAAATGCAGCCCTGATCCATCACGCCCTTTCTCAGACCCTTCAGTGCCTGCCCCTGCCCACCACGAAGCTCAGGGGGCTTCCCTGGCATTCAAGACCTTCCATCGCGCCCGCCTAGCCTGGTCTCCCCGAAGGGCCATCCATCTATTCCCTATACATTCCACATCTCTGCACACCAAGCACTGCGCTAATCAATATGTACATTCTTTCATGGAACCCTCTCATTAACAGCAGGGTGGCTACTGTCCCCATGTTAAACAGGAGAAAATGGAATTTAGAGCAACTGAGTGACTCTCAAGATTCCATATCTAGGTCAGAAAAGCTGGGAGCTGAATTTATGTCTTTCTGGCTCCAAAGTCCTTTGCCACATAAGCTAGGCACCTGAAAGCAAAGATGCCCTATGAACAAGAAAAATAAGTTGAGGTGAAACTCAAGATCCAAGGGGGAATGGTGGCAGAAGGTTCAGGGTATGCCGCTGCCAGGCTGGAGGGCAGCCTTCTGTTTCCGGACCAGACAGGCTGGGATTGTCCAGAACTGGGACACACCCAAAAAAAAGCTGCAGGTGGGATTTCACGGAGAAGGCCAGAGCCAACAGCTGTACTCTAAAATGCACAAAGAGAGGTCTATGGTCCACTTTCTGTACAACTGAATGTCACTGATTTATTACTGTTTAAGGAACCTCAACTATAGGAAAAGCCCAAAGTTAAATATTACAGAGTCAAGTGCTGGCTGGTGTGACTCAGTGGACTGAGCACCAAAAGTTCACCAGTTCAGTTCCCGATCAGGGCACATGCCTGGGTTACAGGCCAGGTCCCCACTCGTACACTTGAAACCTATCATTTTATCAACCGACGTCACCCCAATACAATAAAAATTTTTAAAAAGAAAAAAGAAAGCACCACAGTCTCCTGGACTGGATTCTGGAACACAAAAGGGACCTGAGCGGAAAAGCTGTGGAACCCTGAGGGCAGCGGTCCAGTTACTGAGGTGCCGCGCTCATGTGAACGTACTCTCTTGATACATCCATGGCTGCGTAAGCTGTGAACACTGGAGGGGTCTGGGCACAGGACCTCTGTACTATTTTTGAAACTCTTTTGTAAGTCTAAAATGATTTCAAAATAAAAAGTTATTCAAATGAGAGGGTGACCTGCTGATTTCATTGGCACCCTCTCCTCCACCCCCGTCCTCAACTAGCCACACGATCTTAAGCTTCTCACTTCATCTCTCTGGGTCCCAGTTTTCCAACTGTTTAAAAAAGGAGGGGCAGAAACCAGATCATCTCCAGCTGCCCCCTCGAGCTCTGAAATCCTGAGATCCCGATACACTGACAGGATGATTCACTTTACAAGGATTCCATTTGCAGTAATGTCTTATTCTCCATGTCTCTGGCATATTAAGCATGTAGTAGATGCTTAATAAAAGTCTAGGAAACTGGCTCATTTATTCATTTGTTAAATGAGGTAACACACCCCTTCTACTCATTTGGCCACTAGAGAGAGACACACTCACAAAATGTTCATTGAGAGCAAATTTATCCTCACCCAGCAGTGGGGAGTGGTCCCTTACATCCCAGGCAGAATCTGTTCCTGGTTGGGGGAGGGGAGTCACCATCTGTGAGCAGTTCTGACCCATCAGACAAGACCTCCAGTTGGAGCTCTTAGTACATGTCAGACAAACGCACACACACACACAGCCTTCAGCAGCCTCAATCACCTCAAGGAAACTAAGCAGGCACGCCCTGCTTGCTCCGAGTACATTGCTGTCTTCCTAATGATCCTTTCCCATTTCCTGAACTCAGGCCTCACTTTTAAGGGGCCAATAATGGAGGTCAAAGGAATGAGTGTGGAAATTGACTACAGCCGTGGTAACCAAAAGGCAATAAAAACATCAGCAGCTGCACACACCCCAGCTCCCACCTCACCCCCGCAGCCAAGGGTGGTGCCTGTGTGACCTGCAGTCAGCATAGTGAGGCGGTAGAGGCCACAGTCTAGAGTCAGGCATTCTGAGTTCCAATATCAACCCCCAACTGCCCCCCCCCCGACCCCTGCCACACACACATGAATGCATTCAGTGACTGGGCAGGCGTCCCTGTTTCCCCAGCTTGAGAAGTAGAGCATCCACAAGGAGCACATACAGCGCTGAGTGAACCGATTACAAGGGGGTACGTTCTGAGAAATGTGTCTGGGTGATCCCATGGTTGTGCAAGCATCATAGCTCACCCTTACACACACTAGGGCATAGCCTACCACATGGCTAGTAGGGTACAGCCCAATGCTCCCAGGCCTGCACAGCACGTTTCTGTACAAAACAAAACAAGATTAAATCAAACACGATAAAATGATGCAACTAAGAGATGCAGTAAACACAAGATATAGGAGGCTGCTGCTGGCGCAACACAGCACACTGTTTTCAGCAAACTTTTTGTAAGTAGAAAAAGAACACTAAAATAACGATGAAAAGTATGGTATAGTAAATACATAAACCAGTAGCAGTCAATATGATCATTATCAAGTATTACATACTGTACATAATTGCGTCTGCTATACCTTCATGCGACCACAGCATAGTGGGTTTGATCACACCGGCGTCACCACAAACACCTGAGAGATGTTCTGACAGCTGCCACGTCACTAGGCTCTTGGAATTTCCCAGCTCTGTTGTAATTTTATGGGACCACCATCACACAGGCGCTCCGCAGTGGACGGGCCATCACCATGCACGACTAGTGACCGCTCTGATGGAGGAACAGCCCACCTGCACCAAGTTAGCAGGACTAGAAGGGCAAGGCCATCTCACCCTCAAGAACTCTCCAGCAGGCGGATAATGTTACCTCCTTTTAACAGCACAGGAAGCTCAGGCCCCGAGGCCCACACCAAGCAGGGCCCCTTTCCAGGAGAGAGCAATGCCTTTCAGACACAGGCAAGTCTGCCTAGAAATTTTCCTCCACTGGTCAGTCCGGGTGCCTGAGGTCCCTTCTCTTGAAGCGCTCCTTCCGGTTAAGTCATCTCCCAACGGAAGAGGATTAAAACCCGAAGTCAGTGTAAGTCCTGGGCGGCTGCTTTTTTCATGGTATCTGTCACATTCATTAGGAAACTTAGGGTAGGACCCCCGCGCGCGCGTAGGACAGAGAATAGAAACATTCAGCTGTGTATAAACTTGGAGCCCCATGAGCTGCTGGGTAAAATCCTGGGCAGAGCCTGTCTAGGGCAAGAAAGACCACAGGGACAAGCAGAGGGCTATCAAAGGACAACTGGGAAAGTAAAGGGACTGAAAGGGTCCAAAGCAGCGCGTGTTATCCAAAGCACAGAGGAAGATAACTGTGGAAAAGCAGGCCCAGCCCGAAGTGACAAGCCCTGGGGTAATGCCCAGCCCCAAAGCCGCCTCTCCTTGTAGATGAAAGATCCGAGAAAGGGGGCAGAGAGGTCACGTGACAACTGAATGTTTCTCTCTGCCCTCCACCAACCTGAACATTTTTCTCTTAGGAACTGACACTTTCCATGCTTAGGAAACGCCGCTAACAGCTCAAGGAAAACAAAAAGTCATACCTCTTATAATCAATCTGTGCTACTGGAAATTCCATGAGCCTGGAAAGGAGTCTGGTGCAAAGAATCGGTGGGAGCGCCGAGGCGGTACGTAGTCCAGCCCCGCGCACTCCCAGCTCTCGGCTTTGCTTCCCCGCCGTCACGCTGAGCGTCTCTTTCCCCGGAGGCACCAGTAGGGAGTCTCCAGGAACGGGTCCAGCGAAGCGGCAGTGCCCCCTGTTGGTGTCCCTTGCTTCGCAGGTCAGACCGTGATTTTTAAAATGCTTACGCACCTCCGCCCCGCCTGCGTAGCCCTAGCGGCATTACAGGCACTTTATAATTAACAGTAAATCTGGTGGGAATAGGACGAGAAATCAAGAGCGAGCAACTCAGTAGCCACAGAGCTAAGTATGGTCCGTGTTTACAAAATGGTCAAGCCGTCAGTAGAGAGAGAGCGCTCCCCCGGGGAAGCCAAGAGCAGAAAGATGATGCAGCCGAATTGCAACTGCGCTAGGCGGCCGCTTTCTGTAAGATTTCAGCCCTAGAGAAAGGACTACGCCCAGCCCCGACTCAGACATCTTAAATAAAGAAGAAGAAGAAAAAGAAAACCCTGCCCGATGAGCATGCCACGATTAAACCATTCCTTTCTGTAAATAACTCCCCTATGGGGGATAAACGGCAGGTTCAAAGGCAGGCCGCCCCAGCCCGAGAACCTGGCCTTGTCTCGGGAAACCCACTGACCAGCGTGCGCCTGCGCCCCCGCGGAGCCTCGGCCCTGGCACCTCCGCCCTATCACCTGTCGAGAAGGTCAATCGGCGCTCCACGTACCTGTGGGCCGAGCCCCGCGCCCCGGACACCGCGGCCGCGCTCCAGGCCTCCGGGCCTCCCAGCTCCGCAGCTGCGCCCGGACACAGTGGGCGGCCGCCGCTGAAATGCACCCGAAGGGGGCGGGGCTGTCGTCTTGGAAGACTGATCAGGTGGCAGCGAGGGCGTGGGAGACAGACCATGGGAAAGACCAGATCTGGATACCCGTGGGTGGGGTCCCCTGCCGGGTAACAACCCCAAATCCTGCCCGCGCCCCAGCCCGCTGTGCCGCTGGCCGAGCGGGAGGGGACGCCTGGCTCGGCGGAGCACCCTTTCCGCTGCCCAGACCACTGCCGCCGCCGGCCCCGGCATCCTCCGACCTGCCCTTTACGTCTTGCCTGAAATGTCAAAAGGTCACCTCCTCGGGAGGCCTCGCCTGACCCCGGCTAGGCGAAGCCCCTTTCCAAAGTCCTCTGCAGTAACTCACTCATCTCGTCATTATTTGTATTTGTCCCACGTGCCTGCCTTTCCTTGCGCGACACACAGACGTGGGCGGAAGCTGCACCGGTCTATTCCAGGCACAGAGTGAAAGTGGCTGGAGATGGTGTTCAATGAGAGAGAATGGAAGCCAAATCGGGCTACTCCCGAGGGCTGTTTGCTGAAGGAGGGGCAGCGCAGGGGCGTGAATTGTTTACTCAGAGGATTTCTTTTTCCGCTGTTACCCCTTTCCTGACAGAAGTAGCTGGGATCTTCCTCCGTGGAAGGACGCCGAGATCTCCAAACTACCCCTACGGAGTCTTAGGTCCTACATCTGAGCTCTGAGGCCTTCCTCTTCAGCACTGCTATTTCAAACAAGGGTTTGCGGCTTCTCCCTCTGGGAGAATAGGGAATTCATTCTCTGCTCTCTGCTGGGGCTGAGACTGACCCAGGGTGTCGATTAGAATACCCTATGGCCAGGGGAAAAAATGAAAACTCTAAGCATTTGTGCAAAGGAATCCCATCTGGCCTAGGGGAAGGGCTTATGGATGGTCAAAGCAAACTTCAAGTTGAGATTCCCTATCACTGCTGAGGTTACTGTGGATCGGGGAGAAGAAATTCAGGGGTGATCATAAACAATGTCTTCAATAACCTGGTTTTTGGTGGCCACAAACTATTCCATGTTCAAGTGTTCCATGATCCTAATAGCCCTCCTTCTGTTGTTGGACTGTGTTTCCCCATGTTGGCTCTCATAATGCTGAAGTGGACAGCCCTATGCAAAACATTTTACCCACGTTCTGCTAATTGTTTAAGGTGCATTCCGCCCAGGCTGGTGTGGCTCCGCGGATTGAGCGCTGGACTGAGAACCAAAGGGTCGCCGGGTTGATTCCCAGTCAGGGCCTGTGCCTGGGTTGCAGGTTAGGTCTCTGGTGGGGGGCATTCAAGAGGCAACCACACATTGATGTTTCTCTCTCTTCCTCTTTCTCCCTCCCTCCCCCTCTCTAAAAATAAATAAATAAAAATCTTTTTTATTAAAAGATGCATTCCTATACTCCTGCAAGAGAGGCTACTGGGTCCAACGATGTGAACCTTTCTAAGGCTCTTGAAACATAAGGCCAAACTTCATACCTTAAATGTTGTATAATTTTATCTTCTAAGAGAAGAATGAGGGCTTATTTTAGCATACCCTTGTCAATATCAAGTGCTACGAGTTTTTAAAAATCTTTGCTATTTTGATTAATGAAAAATGGTATCTTTAAAAGATTAGTTTACTGTTCTTTCAAAGTACGAAAAAAATATTTTTAAAGACTGTTTTACTGGTCATTGGCATTCCTTCATCTATGAATTATCTATTCATACCCATCATCATTTTTCAATTTTGGTATTAGCATTTTCCTTGATGACTTTGCAGGTTCTTTATATATTAAGGATAACCACTAAAGATATTAGCCTAGGATATTAGTCACAAGGCTGTGATATTTCTGACATATTTTTTCTAGTTTGTCATTTGTTTTTAAACTTCAGTTAAGATGACTTTTGTGCACCATTTAAAAATTTTAATTATATAAAACCTCTGTTGTTTCTTTCATGACTTTTACCATTGATTTTATATTTAGAAAGTATTCCCCAACTTCCCAAACAATAACTACTCCTTAGTACTTATAATTTTTAAATGGTTACATTTCAGAATAACCATCATCTTGAAGGCCTCTAATTCTAAAAATTTATGGTTTTCAGATTTTATCTACATTGCTGTTTTTATATGCAACATACAAAAATAGTAGATACCAGTTAATTTTTTAAAAAATCTAACATATTATTCGATACTTTCAATAGAATTTCTGTAACCTGGATGTAAGGTACAAAGTCTTGTAATAAAATGAATACCATGTACCTACCCCTCAACTGGAGATCTAGAATATTGCCAATACTTCTGTATTCCTTATCTAGCCTATCTTCCTGGCTCCCCATTCTCAATTTTACATTTATCATTCTTCTGCTTTAAAAAAATCTTAAATACACATGAATGCATCCTTACACAGTACATTGCTTTGCTTTTTAGCTTTATAAAAATATAATTCAATAAGTAAACTAATATTAATAGTAAATAAGTATTTAAGATTAATTAACCTTAAGTATTAATCAAGTATTCATAAGTAATAATACATATTCATTAAGCATTAAATAAATATTAATAAGATTATATTAATAAGTAAACTAATACAAAAATATTGTTTTTATAAAGTTATTTTTATAAATTTTTTAGTTTATCATTCATTTATAAACATACTATATTTTATAATATTATTTTAATAAATGTATTAGTTTACTTATTGATAGACCGGTGGATAAAAAGGTTGTGGTACATATATACAATGGCATATTACTTGGCCAGAAAAAGGAATGAAAACTTACTATCTGTGACAGCCTGGATGGACCTTGAAGGTACGATGCTTAAGTGAAATAAGACGGGGAAAAACAAATACCATGTGATTTAACTTATATGTGGAATGTAAAGAACAAAGTAAATGAACAAAAAAATGAACTTCTGAGCCTTGCATTTTTTCCTAGACAGTTTCTAAAGTTCACACGTAGAATTGTGCGAAGCTGCTCTTTATTCACTTTGCTGCTACGTAATAGTCTAATGCACGGATGTACCATAATTTGTTTAGCCATTGTTCTCTTGATGACACTGGATAATTTCCATTTTTCTCTGACAAACAATGCTGCACTGAACATCCTCTTCTTGTCCCCAGGGCCCACGGCAGGCATTTCTCTGGGTACAGACCTAGGGAGGAATTACTGAGCCAAGTTCAGTGCTAAAAGGTAACACTAAACCATTTTCCAGAGTAGCTATACCAATTTACACTCCATCACCAGTATTCTTTTTTTCTCACTTGTTTTCAATTCTATGTCTCTTAGGCCACTTTTTCTTTTAAATTTTAGATTTACATTGATTTTCACAACTGCCTCGGAGAATGATAAGGTTCACAAATACAAAATTTCACATTGTGGTGGTTTATCAGGAAAATCCTCACGAGGCAAAGAGCCAGCTAAATACAAATCCCTTATTGTCCAATGTCTAAATTTAGGTCCTCGAACAATATCAGGGTGGGACTACCCTGAAAAGGCTGCCCGAGCTGGGTGGAGGGATTGTTCTGGTAACACGAGACAGCCCTTTGCAGAGCAGCTGGGACGGCCACTCTCAGAACTTCCTGCTATTTCTAGGCCTGCGCTCCTCTGTGCCACACAACCTTCTATTTAAATCAGCCACCGTGGGCCAAGTGAATTGCTGCTCTCTTCTACAGGCCGGAAAAAACACACACATTCTTTGATTTGATGTTCATAATTCTGGGCATTAGTCCTAAAAATTGTAACACAAGAAGAAAAGTTATACTTGTGAAGACGTGGGCAGCAACATTGTTTGTAAGTGGGATTTTTTAATTCAAAATTTTAAAATCTGCATCAATAGGGAACATATTATGCAAATTGCAGTATATCCACTCAGTGGTACAAGGTACAACAGATTTTTCTTTTTCTCTCCTGAGCCACTTGAGATTAAGTTTCAGAAATCATGACTGTTCACCCCCAAGTACATCAGGGTGTAAATCCTAAGGACAGAACACCCTCTTACGTAACCATTTTGCAGTGACGAAATTCAGAAAATGTAACATTGATCAGGTCAATGCTGATAATATTTACTTTCAATCCAGATTCACATTTTGCCAATTGTCCTGATATCATCATTTAGAGTGATATTACCTTTCCCCCTTCAAAGTCACATTTCATGAATTGTCATGTCTCTTTATTCCCCTTCAGTCAGGAACAATTCCTTAGTCCTTGTCTCTATCTGTCTTTCAGGACCCTGACATTTTTTAAGAGTCAGGCCCATTATTTTTTAGCTTGTCCAACTTGAACTTGATTTCCAAGTGACCCAACTTAGGTTATGCTTTTTGGGCCCAGGATGTCAGCTC